GTTTAAATGGAAGACTGATCTCTAAAATAGTACTTTTTTATTGTCCTGGTGTTCATGCTGTTCCTCTTGTGAGGAGATAGTCAGCCTTCTCCATTATTACAGTACTTCAACTTTCAGCAAATGCTAGAAGGAGAATTCTCACCTTTTCCACCAGCACAAACATTGGAAGAGACCTATGTACAAATGCTACACAGATATAGAAGTCTCTTCCACTCTTGGAATGCCACAGTATGCCGATGAGAGCTGCAAACAGCCCAAAGTAAAACAACTTGGGTAACTCTCTTTGCCAGACTGAACCAAGAAAATCACATTACTTCAGAAATCAGCTGTGAGAGCATGCTTCTTTGACTCTTTGTTGAAGTGAAGAACATCTTTAAAGATTTGCACTGCCTAATTGTGCATTTCTAGCAAAGTTCTTAAAATACATAGATATAGCAGTCTGCAATATTTAACTATATTTATCAAAATAATTATTGTTGATTCTTTAATCATAAATATATCTCACTTCTACTGTCAGATTAAAAAAACAGCCTCAGCAGAAATATGGACCAAATATAAAGATCAAGAAATTTAAAGTCCATAATTCCTGTAAGCTAGATGAAACTATAAGATACATGTATACCATATTTCACAGATTGGTCAATAAGTAAGACTTTAAATTGCTTTGACTCAAGGCAGTGATAGTTTTTCTATCCTGCAGGTCTTACAGTAAACAGCACAGCTATTATGTTAGACTATATATTTGGAGGTTTGTGGCACTGAGTTGAATGTATTCATCATTATCTGACAGGATTTCAATACTCTAATATAAGGAGAAAGTAAAATAATGCCAGATTGCTTTCAAACTATATTAAGAATATCAAAATTATTTTTCTTCAGTAATGCATTCTAAAATCTAATCTATATAGCAATAAAATTATTTTCAAAATAACATTTTTTACTGGAACTTACCCTTCAATATCAAAATTTGAAATAAAAATAACATTTCACCATATAAGACAGATGCCTTACAAAGGACAACAGTTCAAAGGAGAAAATTCACAGTTAGTTTTGCCTGACATGTAATTCTACCCCGATATTTTAAAAAGTCATCTTAAAGAATAAATAAGAATCTGATATTTGGTTTTATAGATAAACTCAGTGTCTAATGAATAATCAAAGATGACCAATAAGCAGATGTTTCTAAAAATCTTTTTTTGTTTTGTTTTGTTACTGACTATAAGATATATTCTCCTGAAAAACAATGCTGGGATAACAAGTTAATAATATTTGAAACTTGTATGTCTGAATACCTATAACACTTTCAGTAACCTAAAATTAGTTCTATAGCTCTCATTGCAGCTCCTAAAACATTTCTATGTTCAAGTACTGAAATGTGCAGGCGGGGAGACCTATTTCACAAGTATGTTTATCAATGTCCAATTAAGAAACTGACTATCAATGTTATGTCTATGCTGCATATTTTAATAAGAATAAAGGAGACAGCAATATGCAGAAATGCCTAAAAGATTTCAGAACTTTTGTCATTATGCCTAGATATTAGTCTAGAAAAGCAACAATATAGGTAACCATTCTCCAGAGAAATCCCACAGAAAATCACAGACTGAAGGGATAGGGCTTCTCAAAAGAATCTAAACTGGTAATGATTTTTTTTCCATTTTTCCCCCCTCCCAAATCTCTTTCAGGAATCCTATTGTTTCAGAAATAAAGCCTTTATAACAAATGCAGTCCAAGCTCTGATATATGCAAAACAATCAATGTTTAGTTGCAGACAGCTGACAATGCAATATGCAGGAATTATCACTGCATAATTGACACCCTGGTGTGCACTGCTGCTTAATTTAATAGCAAGAATCCAACTCCCCTATGTGTTTTTATACATACTTAGCATTGTTGTTTCAGCTTTGTGCCTTCCTCTTCATAATGAGGCTGATCACTGTGTTCTTTGATAACAGATGGTTGCAGGACAAATGTATTTTTAGATGGAGATGTTCAATACATGTCAGTCTGGGAATGCAGAATTTGAATTTTGAACATCAACGTTTACAAAAAATTAAAATTATTTTTATTTAGTAAAATACCTAAAAGTATTTTATGAACGTGTCCTCTGTTTTTTTCAGTCTCTTTTGAAACATCCCCCTCTCCACCCCAACACTTCTGGATGCTGCAGGCCTAATTAATTAATTGACTTATAGTGTTGGCTACCAGCTTCATTAGCTTCAAAAAAGGGTTGAACCAATTCATGAAGTCAGAGTGATCAATAGCCTTGATGGCAGCATGGCTCCCTCTCAGACTCATCTTCTGGGAGACTAGTGTAGTTGGTTGGCCACTGAGAACAAGCTTTTAGTGTGTTTGCTTGTTCAGTTTTCCTGTTGCTTTCCAGTGTACCTGTTTTTCCTTTGATAAATAAATACCAGGAAAATGAAAGTGCTATTATAGTTGTTATAATTAAGCCACTGCTTTATTCTAAAGACAAACCTTTTTTAAAACATGTTTTGAGATTATCAGCATAAACCTTCTGATAGTGAGAATGTGAAAACCTATAAAAATTTCAGTTCAGAAAAGATATTTGGAAGTTCTATTTTCTTTCTCTCTTTTTAAAAACAAGAAATGAAGCTAGGAAAGAGAACATACACTTTTTTCATTCAGATCTCAGACACTAAAATTTAAATGATGGAAACATGTTGACTGGCTTTTGATCAGAGTTAAAGTTAAAACTTTATCACCAATTTCAAGACAGTGAATCAGCAATAAACATTATTTGAAGCTCTACATAGTGCAAAAAAGAACTTTAGCCAGAGATAATTTGAAGCCTAGGCTTGATACTGTTGTGAATCTCTCTATTCTGAAGGGCCTATTACATAAATCTGGGTAATTTTTCAAATGTACTGCCTTTCCAACTACTTCCATTTCTCCCATGTGCTGACCTTTTTAGTTACTGATAAACAGCTTCTCAGGAGTGATGTATTCCAAGAAAACTAACACACCTGTGCTTTGTGTCCTAACTTGGCAAGCCAAATATAGAAGCCCTCATATGTCACCTTCATGTTGTCTAATAAAGCCTTTTTTCTTCTGAATACAATAGAAATTTCCTTTTTTAACTGGCCTTCATTTTAGTGTGTGTGTGTGTGTGTGTGTGTGTGTATACACACACACACGCACACTCTCATTATTATGACTTTTAGCTGGATGAAATGGTGCATCATAGTTATTTTATTTTTTTGAACCAAGGTACCTCAAATTGGCTATTTTTTAGAATGTGCCCAAAATCTGGGAACCATGACTCCCGAGAGAATGAACTTTGGGAAAGTTGAGGCTACTTCAGTGTTACAGGTTTCACTGCTGGGCCACTGCTGTGATCATGTGATCTTCATTTTCAATGGTGGGGGAGGGGGAGGAAAGGGTAGGAGAAAGGAATGGAGAGCGAGGGAGGAAGGAATCTCAGAGTTCCTTTTCTCCTCCATGCGGCCCTCTGAACACTTTCCTGATTGTTATTGTTTCCCTGTGAGTCTTCCCCAAGCTGTATGGCACCTTTTGTTACCCACACACACCCTTCCTGATCCACATGACTTCCCAGCACACCCCCTCACTTCCTTCCCTGCCTGGCAGAATCCACTTATCTGCCTTGTATTGTTCTATTAAATTTCTATTATTGACCTTGAAAATCCATACTTTAGTGCAAATTACAAAAGTATGTATAAGAAGCAGATGATAAGTTTTCTAAAGAGCGTGATCATTTTACAATTCTGGAAAAGAATTTTGGGGGTTAAATACTTTTGTTTTTCCAAATCAGATTGCAAAGGTTTAAATATATGCTTTTAATAATTTCATTATAACTTCCTCTAAAGAGCTATTAGTGCCATATGCAATTCTTGTTGACATTTTAATTCTCACAACAGCTTCATGAAATTGATTGCAAATGGTGACTGTTTCAAGTTTTCTTGGTAAACTTCATATGTAGCAATGATTTCAATGGAAATCTTTTTATATGTTCAGAAATAAACCTCAGAGTCTACAAGTTTGGACTTCTTCCTCAGCTTGAAAATCTATGCTTTAGGGTAGTGTGGTTGAAGACCCATCTAAACAGTATGTATAAGTTTTTCATTATAACTTGCTTGTTGCCATCAGTTTACTCTTTTGCTTTTATTGTTATATTTGTTTTATTGTTATTTTTCTTTACTTTATAAATCAGCATTGCTAGGAGTCAGGAGGTATACAAATTTAAATCATCATCATCATTTATATTTGGCTGTATATATGAACTGAGGACAACAGATATTGTGATGATTTTGTTTGCACAGAAATTCACTGTGTTGCTTTCTTTCATACAATTAATACAAAGGTTACATTTATCAAAACATCTAAAACTGAAAACATTAAATTGTGCTTATGAATGTTAGACATAAATGTTTGAATTTAATGATAGCAAATAAGCAGTTTACTCAAATCTATTAATTCATAACAACAAGAAAATCATGCCACTTAGACACTCACACACACACACAAATCATGCTACTAATCTCAGAATACGTTCAGTGATATTACAGGTAGTCCTAAACTTACAACCACAATTCAACCCAAATTTTCTGCTGCTAAGTGAGATATTTGTTAAGTGAGTTTTGCCCCATTTTGCGACATTGTTTGCCATAGTTGTTAAGTGAATAACTGTAGATGTTAAGTTAGTAACATGGTTGTTAAATGAATCTGGTTTCCCCATTGACTTTGCTAGTCAGAAGGTCAGAAAAAGTGATCACATGACCCCAGGACACTGCAACCATCATAAGTATGAGTCAGTTGCCAAGCATTTGGATTTGATCACATGACCATGGAGATGCCACAACAATTGTAAGTGTGAAAAATGGTCATAAGTAACTTTTTTCAGTGCCGTTTTAATTTTGAATGGTCACTAAATTAACTGTTTTAAGTTAAGGTTTACCTGTATTTTACCAGATATAGAATAACTATGAATTAAGTTTTCAAAATATATATTCATCTCTTACCTGCTGGTTTACGGGAAAATTCCTGTTGATTTTTTTAATCTATAAAAGTAAAAAGAAAAGCGGATTAATAAATAAACTGATTCAATTAGGATTCAGTCACATGAAACAAAGTGGCATTATACACTTCCTCTGTGAAAGTGATACATATTAATAGGTTGTTCATTTTAAAAATATTTTTTAAGGTGTGTAAAAGGCAGGAGGAATAACCTTGGGGAACAGGGGAAAGAACTACATCCAAGACAACAGTGAGATAAAAGATATCTGAGTCTGGTTCAAGACTGAAACCTGAATAAGTATCTCAAGACCACCCTCTGTTCTCGTGAAGGCAAGGGAAAATTCATTCAGACTTGCTTTACTTTACTTTACTTTATTTTTGATTTATATCCCGCCCTTCTCCCAACGGGACTCAGGGCGGCTCACAACATATTTAAAACCAAAACATATTGACAATCCCCACCAAATAAAACCAATTAAAACCAAATATTTTAGAGTTGTGCTGTTTAAAATTTTCTAAAAAATGAACCCGATTTAAAATCCTCCCTAGGCCAGGCCTGCTTGCTGGAAAAGCCA